GTGTACATTTTTCCTATCCCCCCGCCCCCACCCTTCTCTCCTAGCAAGGCCTTGCCTAACTGGTCAGTCTTATCTATTAAGCCATTGTTGGTGCCGAAGAAGAAATAGGTGACAAGCCAAACTACCTAATAATTAGAAGAGTGGTCCAAGGCCCACAGGAGTGTGTCTGAAAGCCTAGAGTGGGCATTGCTCACCTCCCCTCCATCTGTGAATACAAGGAGGAAACACAATTATATATTATAGGCCAGGGTTCTGGGAATAAAAGATTGTTACAATTATGTTTTAAAACAATTTAAAGCTATCATCTTAAATGCTATGACTTTTCCCTTCTTCCAAATATTGCAATTGTCTGCCCTGTCCTTTAAAAAGAACTGTAAAAAAAAAATTGCAAATTCCAAAAATGTTATCTAAAATGTCAACATGACCAGGAGATCTGTGTCACATAAGTGGTCATGTAGCAAAAATTGTAGGTTTCAAACTTGAGATGGGCTGTGAATTTGGGGTATAAATACTGGAATGAATTTATGTTGTTTGAGCAGGCTTTTTTGGCAATGATGCTAACCCGCCTCCCTATAACCTGGTGATAGAAATTAAACACTTCCTTTTCTTCTAGTCTCTGCCTCTCTTATTTTAATTGGCCACAAGGGATAACATCCAATTTGTTGGATTGGGTCATAACAAGCCCAGCTGAAGCTAGGCCCTTGTCTTTTGTTGCAGCTCAGCTCCTCACATCTGAGGCATATATCTACCTGTCATTTCCTGTCACCCTCACGTCTTTCTGTCTCTCACATCCTCAGTCCAGTGCTGCCTTATATTCCTTGTGGATACTTTTTATTCAGCAAATATTGACTGAGCACTTAAGAGATGCCAAACCCAATGCTGGGTGCTAGGAATACAATAAGCATGACAGCCCTACCTGGAGAAGCAGTGACATATAGTAGTTAAGAGAATGGATTCTGGAGCTAGACTGTTTAGGTTCAAAACCCAGCTCACCACTTAGATGCTATGTAACCTCAGGCAAGCCTTGGTATCTGTGCCTCAGGTTCCCCACCTATAAATGGGAATGATAATGGGCCTAACTCAATGAGAATTATATGAACTTTTATATATATATATATATATATATATATATATATATATATATATATGCTATTTAGGACATTGTGCCTGGCACATAGTATTGCCTGTCTGAAGACTATCACACATATCCCTTTCTCCAAGATAATCCTCATAGCCTGCATGTACAACCTGACAACAAGATGAAATCTAGCCGACATTGTTGTTTCATGCCCTTTAAGTCAATTTTTTGAATGTAAAATACTTATATGCATGTGAAGCAATTTTTAAGAGTAAAGCAAAAGCACATGAGAAAAACTAAAGGGAGCACTAAGGGTCACAACCTCAATTAAGAATCCCTCAGATTTTAGATAAACAGTTTATAGAGGCACCCGCTTTGACAGTAATGCACATAGTTTCCAGGATCCAAATCCAGACATACAGTACCAAAAATAAGAAAACTTATCTCTAATTCAAAACACTCTCCTAGAATAATGCATTTTGAGAAGATACCAAAAAAAAAAAAGACACACCTCTGAATTATTACAGCTAAAATTGTATTGTCCTTTGTACTTTATGTCAATGGCTATAAAGAAGGAATTCTTGGTCTATTAAAATATAACTAATATTAAGGATGTTCATCTATTTTATAAATAAAATGGACACACAATGTAAATACAGAGAAACTTTGTTGGTCATTGCCTACTTAACTAGTGGTCTCTATTCCCTCTCTAAAAGACCCTGACCAATGGCCAAGCACAGTCAAAGCTCCAGCTGCTCCCCTGCTTAAATTCCCACTGAGTTACACAGTTACTGAGAGTTACTTGTGTTTGTCTTCAAGCCTGCTTATGCCAGCTTTAGTTGTCACTACAAGAGTGTGATTTATTAACTATTACATAAACATAAAAGGACTGGAGAGGAAGAAAATGATAAAAATCTACAAGAATTCAGCACTCAGACCACTTGCGAGCACCTCTTTAATCCTTTAAGCTATTTACCCTTGGGTCTATAAAATGCTTAGGTTCTAAAGGGAAAAAATTCATAAAGCATTTTACTTCTCTTCTGTTTCAAGAATTCCTATGCTCTCTGAAAACAACAGAATCATCCATTCCTAGTAGATCATCTCATCCAAAGGGTCTAAAGGGGCATCAACAACTGCTCTCCAGTGGCTCCCCACTTGCATAACGGAGAAAAGCCAAATTTCTTTTTGTTTGTTTGTTTTTTGAGTTGTAGTCTCACTCTCTTACCCAGGCTAGAGGGCAGTGGCACACTCCTGGCCACCACAGTCTCGACCTTCTAAGTAGCTAGAACTACAGACATGCGCCACTACGCCCGACTAATTTTTTGATTTATTGTAGAGATGAGGTCTCACCAAGTTGCCTAGGCTAGTCTCGAACCCATGGGCTTAGGCAGTCACCTCACCTTGGCCTCCCAAAGTGCTGGGATCATAGGCATGAGCCACCGCACCCGGCCTAAGCCAAATTTCTCATAGAGACAATAAGGTTCTTGTATTAGTCAGAGTTCTCCAGAGAGACAGAAACAATAGGTTACAAACAGATAATAGTAGAAACATGAGAGGGGATTTATTAGGGAATTGGCTGATGCAGTTAGAAGGCTGAGACAGGCCTTCTGCAAGCTGGTGACTCTGGAATGTTAGTAGTGTGGCTCAGTCCAAGTGTGAAGGCTTCAGAACCAGGGAAGCTGACGGCATAACTCTCAATCTGAGGCCAAAGGCCTGGGAGCCTGAAGTTCTGTTGTCCCAGGACAAGAAAGGTAGACTGTATCCAGGCTCCAGCCATTTCTATTCTCTCCAGGTCCCCAGCAGATTGAATGGTGCCCACTGACATTAAGGGCATTTCTTCCAAACCTGACCCACTACCTAATCTCCTATGGAAACACCCTCACAGACACACCCAAAATTAATGCTTTACCCACTTTCTAGGTAATCCTTAATCCAGTTAAACTGACACCTAAAATTAACCATTACAGCTCTATTTTCTGGTCTTGGCCTGACTCCCCTGCTATCTCCCAGAGCAGCTCCCACGCCTTGATCTGTTATTGGACAGCTGTTCCATGCATGCTCCAGTCTGGTTCATCCTGTCCAGCTCGCTCTGCCAGCAATGCCAATCCCTTTTCTTCTCCCTACCTGTGTGATTTTCAAGTCACCAACACCCCTATGAAGCCTATCTTAACCAAGCACCTCACTCATCAATAGTTTTGGCCAATACAGTTGGCTGCTGCCTCCTCTGTGCCCATTGTAATCTGTATGGATTCCCAGCATGACACTTGTACCATGTTACCTCACTGTTACATGCCTGCCTCCTTAGCCTACAAGCTCCCTGAGAGAAAAGACCAGGTCTTATTTAGCCTGTATATCCTAATACTGAACAGACAGTCTGGTATCAACCCTTTGACACTACCAACTTCCTTCACATTCTATGTGTGATATTGAGTCGACATAAAGAGAATGGTATCCTCTGGAAACTGAACAATGCTTGGCCCTAAGCTCAACAGAGGCTTAATACATTTTGGGGCCGGGCTCGGTGGCTCAGCCTGTAATCCCAGCGCTTTAGGAGGCCGAGGCTAGTGGATTGCCTGAGCCCGTGAGTTCGAGACCCGCCTGGGCAACTTGGTGAGACCTCATCTCTACAATAAATCAAAAATTAGCTGGGCATGGTAGCGCACGCCTGTAGTTCCAGCTACTTGGAAGGCTGAGGAGGAGGATCGCCAGAGCCCAGCAGGTAGAGGCTGCGGTGGCCGGGAGGGACCACTGCACTCCAGTCTGGGTGACGGAGTGAGACTCCAACTAAAAAAAAAACACAAAAAACACTTTGGATAAAAGGATGGATGAATAAATGATAAATGGATGTACACGTTCAGACCAGCCAGAGTAGGTATGGTATAGTTCTGCTTTAAAAACATTGATAATCAACTTGATGTCCCACTAAGGTCTGTATTAATTCAGGAAGGTTTTTTAGAGGAAAATGTTTCTAGCAGAACTATTACTTCTGGTTTTTTTCAAACAAGACAAAACTGCCAAGGGCGTTGCCACTGAAAGTATGACCCCAGGATAGGCACTTGAGATAAAGTATCTTTCCTGCCGCCAGAAAGCTTGGTTCCATGGGTTCACATAAACAGCAGCAGGTTTGTGAGTTTAAAGGGACACATTTACATACTGGACTGTATTTTCAGCCAACTCTGGATTTTTTTCTCAGACTTCGCAGTATCAACTAACATCAAAAGAAGTTCAGCAGGCTTTCAGAAATGGGGCCATGCCCTATCTTTTAACCTGAAACTTCTTGTCATAATGTAGTCAAGGATAGGAAAACATGTTACTTAGCAGCCATCATAGTAATAATACCATGGTTTTATATGGTAACCATCTTGTGATTCTTTCCCATAGAAGCAAATAGATGACAAAATATTGCTCTCCTCCAAAACCTGGGGACTAGGAATAATGCCAAAATAAAACTCAAAATACACCTGAGATTATGTTATTTTGAAAGCTGTAATTGTCCAAGTATTAAAAGACTTAGCTTCTTACCTGTAACCAAACTGCCAAACAAAACCTTTGAATCTATTTTGTCAGCTATTCACACTTTCCCTGAACCGAACTGCCATATTTATAAAGCACTCAGGTAATGTTGTACAAGAGGAATATTAGGCTTCAAAAGTGCCCCCCAAAACACTCCTACTCCCAAAGAGGAGCATTTTGACTCATGGCATAATCAAGCAAAGCAAATGACAACTTGGGGTAAGAATGGCTAAGAGTATAGAATGAATTATTCATGTCAGAAGTAAAGGGAGTACCCTCAAAATAACTATTTTGAGGTATTGTAGGCTAAATGATGTAATGTTATGATTTGACAATCAAAGAAAACAAGCTGAGCAGTTCGATATGGCAGTTCCTATAACTGGCAAGCTGAGTTAGTATTAATGCCAACTAGCCAGAGCAAAAGTGGGCAACTCTGGCCCCGTGCCAGCCTGGGCCTCCGCACTCACTGTTCATGTACATTCTATGTTGAAGCAATGCATTTAGATATACCTAAAATGAAACAAAGCCCAAATGAAAACCTTGGGCCAAAAATTTTTAAGGGCTACAAAGTAGCAGATAAAAATGCCATAGACATTGTTAGATGAAACTGAACTGAACCCAATGCATACATATTGGCTGGTTCTTCATTATAGTCACTTCAGGCTTGCCTTTTGCAACATAAACAAGTATGTGAACAGAGGCACTGAATTCAGTAATGTTTCAGAAAATGTGCTCTCTGATCCAGTAGCACATTCCATAGTATATCCTAAATAGTGACAAGTCTTCATTCTCTGAGGCTGGGTACATATTTTTTTGGAAAGAGCTGATGATTAATATGGATGCAAAGCACTTAGAATAGTGCCTGGAACATAGTAAGAGCTATATATACATGAGTTATTTTTATTACTTTTAGTCACAGTCACAGTATAGGGTGTAATAATAAATGAAGACATTTTATTATGTAGTTCACCAATTTCATGTCACCATCATCTCTCTCAGGACTCCTGCAGAAAACTCATGACTGCTGCCCACTCCTCCCCTCCTCCCCTGCTCTCTTCCTCCTTGCCACTTCTCCATCTTGCTACTTCTCCAGGATGCCAAGGATATTTCTGCCCCAGGCCATTACACCTTCCTCCAGATATCCCCATGGCTGCCCATGCCTTCACCTCAGTCAGGTATCTGCTCAAAGTTCACCTTCTCAGTGAGGCCATTCCTCATCATCCTACATTTTTAAAAGTCTTGCTTCAGTTCTCCCTTAATATGCTTTCTGATCCCCCTTCAGAAAATGCACTTGAAGGTAAGTTCCATGGGCAGGAATGTTGTCTTTTTTTTTTTCACTGTTGTATAGTAGGTGTTTGATAATTATTTGTTGAATAAATGAGTTCAGTATTTACATCTAATAAGTCTATGTGCCAAGACCTTTTTTAAAAAAAAACATATTATCTCATTTAGTCCTCACAAAACTTTAAGATGGATACTACCACCACCATTAAAAAAAAAAAAGAACCCAGGCTTGACAAGATTAAATATACTACCTACAGTCACAAATGTCCAATTAGAAAAGTCAACATTTAATCCCATATCTGAGTCTAAAGGCCCTAGCCACATTTTGTATGTGGAAGGAATCATTAAATACTAAGGTTTTATGTATTCATTCAACAAATATTTACTGAGTACCTAAACAGACACATACTGTGATAGTCTCTGAGGATACAATATACAATAGCGAAGTTGCCATCTACAGGAGAATTTGTATCATTAATTCACCAACAACTAAGTAGAAAATACTAATATTTGAAATAGGAGACTAAGAGTTAAAAATCCATCAGCAGCAGCAAGGACAGCCTCCGAATCCCTTCCAGGATGCTAATACTATATGAGGAAAAGTATTATAAAACATTAACCAAGGGCTCTCAAATGGGGGAACGAATATGTATCAGGAAATCCTGTAGAGTTTTGTGAAACCTCTACACAGCTTCCTGAGATTCTGGCACAACTATGTGGGTTTAATAAAACAGGGGTGAGCAGTACTGTATAATTCAAAAATATCTCCTCTCCCTTTGTGAAGCACATCTTCCTTTCCTCAATGTGCTTTTCCACTTTTGAAATACTTGTTTTCCCAAAGGCAATAATGTAATCACAGAAACTTATTTAGATATAAACTATCATAACACTAACCACAAACAGGATTTTCCCTAGAGGCCCAAGAACAAAGGTTCCATGGAAGAGGAGAAAAGAGAAAATGTAAGGAATGTTATTGTGCTAGACTTTACATATATCATGTCATTTACTTAACTGAAAAAAAAAATCTGCAAGTTAGCAAATCTTCAAAAGAGAAAAACAAGTAAAGTGCCTAAGCCACAAGGTAGTAAACATATCTCCCTCCACTGCATTCTCAGGGTTAAGTCTTCCTCAAAGGGTCTGAAGTACTTCAAAGTTTAGAAATGTCACACTAAGACCTTAGTACAAAAATGAGCCAACTGTGACTACCTGTTCCATCCTAACTCCAAGGGGCTCAAGAGTCCCTACAACCATATTTCCAAATTATCAAGTGAGTGATAGAAAGTAAAATCCATCCAACAGGCAATTACTATGGTGAACCTGACCATTATTAGAAAGGACACAAAATAGCATAGTAAAAAAAAATGCCTGTGATCCAGCACTTTGGAAGGCAGAGGCGGGAGGATAGTTCGAGGCCAGAATCAGCCTGGGCCAACATAGTGAGACTCTGTCTCTACGGAAGAAAACCTTTTAAAAAATTAGCCAGGCATGGTGGATCACGCCTGTAATCCTACCTAAGGGGGGAGAATCGCTTGAGCCATGATCATACCACTGCTCTCCAGCCTGGGCCACAGAGCGAGACCCTCGAGCTCAGATGAACTCCAGCACTCCGACTTCTGTCATTTTTGGTCGCATCAACCCGTGTCACATCCACAGCAGGTAAGATGATTGTTGTTCCCACTACAAGAACTTAGTTCCATGAAGAACTAATAGGGAGTTTGTCCATTTCTTTCATTGCTATATGCTCAACACCCTGAATATAGACACTAAATAAATGTGGACGGAATGAATCAATGAATGAGCAAGCCTCACCCTTCTCACTTGTAAAACAGAGATAATTCTCTTGTTGGGAGAATTAAACGAGAGGTAACGTGTCCGACACAGAGCGAGCCAAAATCCCGTCTTCTGAGCATTTCCACTTGACAAGCTAGAGATGGACGCGCTCTGCGTCCGCGGGGAAAGCAGGCCTCGCCTTGCCGAGACCCGGGCGGGGGGCAGAGATTGGAAGCTCAGAGCTGGCACAACTAAAGCTGGCGGGGGTGGAGAGGGGGAAGCGGTCCCAGCCAGGTGTGACGAGGTCGAGAAGGGGCCATGCCCGGGCCTGGCGGGCAAGCAGGGGGAGGTGGCCGGGGCCCAGCGTGTGAAGGGGAGCCGAGGAGACAGGCCCGGCCAGGTATGGAAGCTCGGGGAGAGGAAGACGACCCCGGGCCCAGCGGGCCAGCGGTCATCGCGCCTCCACGCTGCCCTGGTGTGGGAGCGGGAGGTGGTGTTCCCGACCCACCGACCACCCGGGTTCTCACCAGCTCCGAGAGCGTCTCCAGGCGATCCGAGGAGCCCTCGGGTGGACAGAAACGCGGCCCGACACAAGCCCAGGACGCAAGCAGAGTTCTCGCGAGAACACAGCCTTCCTCCCACGCCTCTCGCCACACTTCTGACAGTCTCGCGAGATCTCTGCTCGAGTCGGCCTAAAGCCCTTGACTACCCTCTAAAGGGTTCAGAGCGCAGGCGCACACTCTCTCCCCGTCCTTGGCCAATGTCCTTTCGCCCTTCCTGAATAGATGAAGAAAAATGAAGAAAAACATCATCTGAAGGCAAATATTACGCCGAGAACTATCCTAAGTTATTCTCTCGCACAAAATGTCCTCACAGGTAGATGTTATATAGCTTGAACGTTCGGATGCAAAAATAAATGTCAAGACACAAAAGGCCATATGTTGTATGATGCCACTTACATTCAGAACCTAGAATAGTCAGATTCATGCATATAGAAAGAATGATTGTTGCCAGGGACTAGGAAGAAGGGGAAGTGGGGAGTCATTGTTTAACAGATTAGAACTACTGTTTGGAATGATGGGAAGTTCTGGAATTGGATAGTGGTGATGGTTGCACAACAATATGAATGTATTTAATGACATTGAATTGTACGTTTACAAAATGGTTAAAACGGTACGTTTCATGTTATGTAAATTTTGCCCCAATTTTTTTAAAAGGTTGAGTAAATAAATGTCAGAGCCCAGATTCTAACCCATTCATCAGATTCTAAAGCATATGCTTATTTGAACCATATCACAGCACACAATTTTCCACACTCTATGTGCCACCATATTGTACCTCCCCTCACATTCTTCCTAGTGTGGTATTACTCACATTGAATTTTTTTTGTTGTTTATTTGTGACCAGCTATTAAAATGGGACTCACTATCCCATTTTTATTTATTTATTTATTCATTTATTTAATTTTGGGGGGTCGATGTCTCACTCTGTTGACCAGGTTGGAGTACAGTGACACAATCCCAGCTCAAAGCAGCCTCGAACTCCTGGGCTCAGGCGATCCTTCCGCCTCAGCCTCCCAAGTAGCTAGGACTATAGGTGCACACCACAATGACCTGCTAAATGTTTTGATTTTTTGTAGAGAGGAGGTCCCCCACTGTTGTCCAGACTGGTCTCGGTCTCCAGGGCTCAAGCAATCCTCTGGCCTTGGTCTCCCAAAGTGCTGGAATTAGAGGTGTGAGCCACTGCGCCCAGCCTTCTGTCTCATTTTTGACATAGGTCCTCCATACTCGGTGCCAAGCACTTCCTCACATTTCCCAGCAAAGGAGATGCTAGTAGTAGGGCTTTATGGATTTCACCCAAGAATGACTCCACAAGGGGCAAGGCAACCTCAGCAGAAAGCAACAGAACAGATTCTACAGATGTAGAAGCTAAGAGAACAGTCATAGCTTGTGACTGGAAAGGGAGCAGTGGAGAAAGGGTCCCCAGGGGAATGTCCAAAAAGTCCACAAAGTCCTATGAGGAAGTCAGCCTAGAACCCTCCCTTAGGCAGAAGGAACCAAGGCTGCATCATGCCCTGAACTCTCAGGGCCCCATTCCCTCTTCAATTTAGATGCAGACCCTGGAATGAGACTTTATGTAACTAAAAGTGAGCAAAGCACTTTTTTTTTTTTAAATCTGAGAGTGACCAAAAAAACGAAGGGACTACCTAGATTGCTCAACTGTCCTAAATAGCATGTTTGAACAGATAGGGTTAGGGGACAGGGAAAATAAAGCTCTTAATCAGTTGCCCACCAATTGTTCAACAGATGACTGTTTGCCCATTTGTGATCTGTCATGTACACCAAGCCCCAGGAGAGCAGAAAACTGACCCTCTCTAGTTCAGTGCTGTATCCCTAAGCTCAGAGCACTGCCTGGCCCAGGCACTCAGTAGAGACCTGTTAAGTGAACAAATGTTCTCTAATACAGAAACTGTAAAAAGAGAATCAGGCCGGGCTTGGTGATTCAACCTGTAATCCCACGCTTTGGGAGGCCGAGATGAGTGGATTACCTGAGCCCGCGGGTTCGAGACCCGCCTGGGCAACTTGGCGAGACCTCATCTCTACAATAAATCAAAAAATTAGCTGGGCATGGTAACGCGCACCTGTAGTTCCAGCTACTTGGAAGGCTGAGGCGGAAGGTTGAGGCTGCAGTGGCCAGGAGTGGCCACTGCACTCCAGTCTGGGCAACAGAGTGAGACTCCAACTCAAAAAAAAAAAAAAAGAGAGAGAGAATCATTGATGTCATTGTTTTTAAGTCACTAATAGATGACTGATACTGGAGCCTTGCGCCCAGGCCATTCGCCTGCAGAACCCCTGGCCTTTTAATTCCCTGTCTGGCTGCATGTGTTCTTGGGGCTACTTCAACAGGCTGTCCTGCTCTAACCTGCTCTGACCTAAGACAGAGAAATATGATGGACAGAGCATACAGGACAATTTCTGAAGTAGCAGAAGGGATAAATGTGAACACCTCAAAGAAAAGATGGGATATGATTTCATCTTGAAGATTCATTTATTTTTTTCATTGTTCACCAGACAGCAGGACACAGGAAGCAGAGTGCAGACATATCAGAAACAGCAGAGGTGGCAGTGGTCCCCTGAATAAGGAATGCACAATGCCCTATTAGAGTATAGGAAAAAAATTATAACTTCTATTCATATTTATTTTTTGTCTTTTTTATTGTGTTTTATAATTTGCATCAAATCAACGCATGTATAATTTATAAATTAAAAAGTATATGCACACATTGAGCTCATCACAGTGGCTCATGCCTACAATCCCAGCACTTTGTGGGGTCGAGGTGGGCAGATTGCTTGAGCCCAGGAGTTTGAGATAAGCCTGGGAAACATAGCAAAACCTCATATCTACAAAAGAATTTTAAAAATTAGCCAAGTATGGTTGTACACACCTTAGTCCCCACTACTCGGAATGCTGAAGTGGAAGGATTACCTGAGTCTAGGAGGTCGAGGCTGCCATGAGCCATGATCATCATGATCATGCCACTGCACTCCAATCTGGGCTACAGAAACTCTGACTCAAAAAAAGAGAAAGTATACACACAGTCAAGTGTTTGCTCAAAAATGTGTTTATTCATAGTAGGGCTACACAATTATAGACTATTAGAGGCCATCAGAGAATGAGGTCTCACTTGGGAGACCTACGCCTAGTAGAAGCACATTATATTACCCATCCATTGACCTCACAGGTCTTTTCTGGGTCCTCTTTCTTCACCACAGTATAGCTGCAGGTCTCCTTGTTAAAGATTTTCTGGCACTCGTCTTTGTCAAAATCCACAGGGGTAGAAATACTGTCATGGAGACAAGATGGAAGCCTGTTAGAAGAGAAAGTATGCCCAATTTCCCCTTCCCAGAGTCAGATCTGTGCTGGAAGCTGCCCACACTCTAGCTACTTTGGGTGCCCGTCACCAACTTAAGGGCATCCCTTGACTGATAACCCCAAAGTATGACCACCGGGAACCTGTACCTGTCTGTACCATAGAGTTGCATAGACCATCCCTAACATTAGTCCTACATTCTATCCTGTATGTACATAAGGACAGTGGTAAGTTCTGACAGGCCCAGAGGCACAGGTCTTCGCCACTCTGGAATTTGGCAGCTTATTCCCTTCTGGATCTTCCCACCCTCCCTGATCCCTGTTCAGGAAGTGATCAGAAGTATTGTTGCTAGAACGTGGGAAGGGAATAGTTGTCCCAGTCCCAGCACAGAGGCCTGTTAAGGGTTGTCTCAACCAACAGGAGCAAAGAGTCACTCGAGGCCAGGGGTATGGAGTCCAGATGATGAAAATCAAGGACCACCTCCCCAGGAAAATTCACCTACATGTTCAGTGGTGCAAACGATTTTACAGCTCATTACCCCCTTGAAGCCCATTCATAAGCCCTGGATTTGAACTGGCCCTGCCCAAAACTCACACAGAAGTACCACTTCTGATGCCCTTTGTAACATTTCCTTCCAAAAGATTGCACTTGACTTTAGCTGAAGAGGACATGTCTGTCCTCTTTCCAAAGTTATCCTCACTCATTCTCCTATCCTATTCTGCCTTATTCCTGGGACACCTGAATTGTGGCCCCTGGTAATGTAAGGAGATAAGATAGCAAGAAGTCCTGCTCACAGCCAGCGAGACTCATGGTGCTCAGTAGCAAGGAACACAGAGAACCACCCACAGCACAAACTTGTGGGAACATGGTCCTGAGAATGGAAGCAGTGAAATTGTGCCTTCAGCTCTAGGGTTCTGGTTTAACTATTTTTGATACTAAGGAAGGGTTAAGTTGCAATACATATGTAGGAATATTTTGAAGAGTTTCGATGAGATAAGATAGTACTAATGCTAGAAATTAAGTGGAAAAATTATACCACAAAATTGCAGTGTAAAATTTGATACCCAACTTGGGCAACATTATGAGATCCTGTCTCTACCAAAAAAAAAAAAGTTTAATTAGCTGGGCATGGTGGCATGAAACTGTAGTCCTAGCTACTCAGGAGGCTGATTGCTTGACCTGGGTGACAGAAGGAGACTCTGCCTTAAAAAATAAATAAAAGGAAAAATGATATTTGACATTCACTATGTAAAAGAAAAAACAAGGTACAGAAAAGAGACAGAAAGCCCGGGCACGGTGGCTCATGACTATAATCCCAGCACTTTGGGAAGCCGAGGTAAGAGGATTGCCTGAGCTCACAGGTTCGACATCAGTCTGGGCAACTTGGTGAGACTTTATCTCTTATCTCTACAATAAATCAAAAAACTATCTAGACATAATGGCACGAGCCTGTAGTTTCAGCTACTTGGAAGGCTGAAGTGTAAGGATCGCCTGAGCCCAGCAGGTTGAGGCAGTGGTGACTGTAAGCATGCCACTGCACTCACTCCTACTCAAAAAGAAAGAAAGAAAAGAGACAGAAAGAAATCATGATAGAATATAGGCATGGCGGCATGTGCTTGTAATCTCAGCTACTTGGGAGGCTAAGGCAGAGAATTGCTTGAGGTCAGGAGTTCAAGACCAGCTTGGACAACACAACAAGACCCCATCTCAATATTTTTTTAAATTAGTTAAATAAAATAATTTATGATTATGAGTTATTTCTTTGGAGCATAATTAATATGTTAGCACTTGGGGAAATTTGGGGAAAATGTATTTTAAAAGCTTTTAATGTTTAAAGGTGGTTATTTGCTGGTGGTATGTAAAATGGTACAGTTGCTGTGGAAAACAGTTTGGCAGCTCCTCAAAAAGTTAAACAAGAGTTACCTTATGAGTTACCTTATGACTCAGGAATTCTACTCCTTGGAATATAATAAATAAAAATAATTGAAGGTATGGACTCAAACATACTCATATGCCAATGTGCATAGCAACATTATTCAGTGTAACCAAAAGGTGGAAACAACCCAGAGGTCCATCAGCATGAATGGATAAGCAAAATGTGGTATGACCATACCATAGATTATTCAGGCATAAAAAGGAATGAAATACCGATACATGCTGCAACATGGATAAACCTTGATAACATGCTGAGTGAACTAACCCAGACACAAAAAGACAAACACTGCGTGATTCTATTTATGTGAAATATCTAGAACAGGCAGATTCATAAAGGCAGAAAGTAGATTACAAGTGACCAGGGTCTGGGGGGAGAGGGAGTTTGGAAATAGTAGTAATGGTTACACAAGATTACGAATGTACTTAATGCCACTGAATTGCACACTTTAAAATGGATAAATTGGCAAATTCTAAGTAATATCATTTTACCACAATAAAAAAGTTAAAAAACATAATGTGGTTGTTGAAGAAATATCAATTTTTCTTTTAGAAGTTTTTAGTAGAAAATGAAATGTATAACATTGCTGTTTGTGTGTAAGCACAAGTTGCTATGGCAAAGGGCATATTACTGGATGTTTATTTCAATTCAAACCAGACACAACTTTGTAGGTGAAACTGTTAAGACAGAGTAAGAAAGGAAACCACAAACATCAGGTATACAAATGTCAGGAGTTGTTGGGCAGATGACTTGACTCTTTGCCTCCCACTTCTGCCTGGGAGCCTCTGCCTGGGCCCCCAACCTCAGGCTGCTCTGCTGCTGAACCCCTGAGATCTCAGCAGTGTCTCATGGAGCAGGGATTCTCAATCCATGGGCCACAGATCAGTACTGCTCTGAGGCCTGTTAGGCATTGGGCCACACAGCAGGAGGTGAGCGGCAGGCTGGGTGAGCAAAGCTTCATCGGTATTTACAGCCACTCCCCGTCATTGGCATTACCACCCAAGCTCTGCCTCCTGTCAGATCAGCACAAAAAAGCCTGTTTCCATTTCCAACGTCCTGTCTTCGTGAAGCAGGGTTTTCTGCAGTGACGGCAACCACAAGATTGTGAAGTAGACTGGACATAAACAACAAATTCTGGGTGTCACAGTCTCCCATCACCCCCAGATGGGACACTCTAGTTGCAGGAAAACAAGCTCTACATTATAGTGAGTTAAATAATTATTTCATTGTATATTACAATGTAATAATAATAGAAATGAAGTGCACAATAAATGTAATGTGCTTGAATCATCCCCAAACCATCCTTCCTACCCCCCAGTCTGTGAAAAAATTGTCCACAAAACTGGTCCCTGATGCCAAAAAAGGTTGGGGACTACTGCTATAGAGGGTACAGTGGGTCCAAAAACTTCTCCCAGATAAAATGTAATCAAAATCTGTATTTTTCTATGGCAAAAAATAAAAAGTTCATGGGAAAAACAAACTTGATAGGAGGTGAGGCAGTTTCAGGGAAGAAGAGGTTGGTTCATTTCCCGCATGTGGAACAGTGTGCCAAGTGGGACAGGTGACATGTCAAGAAAGAGGAAAAGGGCACCTTGAGATCTGACCAGGTGCCAGTTATGGTCACAAGCTCGAGAGACACAGAACTGGCACAGAGAAGGCATTAAGTATTTGTTGAGTTAATGCATTTATATGCAGAATCTCATTTAATGCTCATAGCAACCTGATTATCCCTGTGATACAGAGGAGACAGAGGCTGAGAGATTCAGAAACTTACCTAGAGTTAAACAGCTGGTATGCAAGGGAATGGGGACTCAGTTTACTCTGACTCCGGTATAGAGTTCTTCCCACTTCACTGCAAGGCACATCTTGTGCTCTTTTCTAAACTAGGTCTATGGGAATCCTAGAAGAGGGTCGTGTTAACATGGCTATGGAGATGCTGCATGACAAGGGTGAAAGTGCCAAATGTGAGTGACACAAATGCTTGAGCCACTATGGAGGTGCACACGGATGTGAGGGAAGAACAGTTTACCAGCCCTCAACCTGGCTAGGATACAATTACATTCCAGAGTGACATCGTCACCTAATACAAAGACAGTGCCAAATTTCTGGAGCCACAGAATCAAGATTCAGTTGTAATTCCCAATGATCCAACCAACGCAATAACAGAGAGCCTGCTCCGAGTAGTCAGCCAGTCTCCCAGTCCAATTTTCTTTTTGTTCCATTAAGCACTTAGCTTAATGTTGGTAGAACTCCATAGGACTCAGGTATTTCTTCTTTTTTCTTTTCTTTTTTTTGAATTGGAGTCTCACTCTGTCACCCATGCCGGAGTGCTGTGACACACTCACGGCACCCTAGCGTTGACCTGCTGGGCTCTGGCAATCCTTCCACCTTAGCCTTCCAAGTAGCTCCAACTACTTGGAAGGCTACAGGTGCACACTGCCTTGCCTGGCTAATTTTTTATTTTATTGTGGAGACGCGGTCTTGCCAACTTGTACGGGCTGGTCTCGAACCCGTGGGCTCAGGCAATCCACTCACTTCAGCCTCCCAAAGTGCTGAGATTACAGGCTGAGCCACCAAGCCTGGCCCAGGAATTTCAATCTAAGTCAAGTGCTCACTCCTCTACTCACTGGTGTCCTCATAAGACTCTCTGAGGCACTTGTTAAAAATTCAGATTCCTTAACTTCCTCTAGCTACTCTGAGATTCTGATCAGGTGGTTCTGGGTGGATCCCAGGAATCTGTATCCTATCAAGTTTTTCCAGTGAGTCTGTGATCGAGCAAGTTGAGGAAATGCTCCTTTACACAAATGCATAGGTCATCAAAGCCACTCCTGTTCTTGCAAAGCATGATAGGCCAAGGCTGACATGAAGAGGTCAGATGGATGTGGGAGATTGGGAGTGGAGTGAATGGTATAGACCTAGCTGCTGAGGAAATAGATAAACTAGGACCATGCTACGAATACTCTGTGGTCTGTCTGCCTAAGTATTAGGCCTCTGGTGTCCATAGCAACTCAGCAGAAAATATCTGCACAGCCTTTGAACTGACTTGAGTTAAACTCTGCAGTGAAGCAATGTAAGTTTTACACTACATGGTATACTACAGATCATTCCTCATATCTCACATCTAATCCCTCTGCCTATGCTCAGAACCACTCCTGTTTTTGCAAGTCACCAAGGCCAGGGCTGAGGTGATAATTGGCCCAACCTCTAGAATAGCATCAGACCATTGGCTACTCTTTCCTGTCTCCAGGAGCCCATCTGGACATAGGTATTTAAGAATAAAGAGTAAAGTTGAAAACAACTTTAAAAAATAAGACTCAGGTGGAAACAACCCAAGTATTCATCAACAGATGAATGGAGATGCAAAATGTGGTCTGTCCATCCAATGGAATATTATTCAGACTTGAAAAGAAAGGACAGTCTGACACACACTCCACAATATGATTGAACCTTGAGTACATTATGCTAAGTGAAATAATCCAGTCACACATACCAAAAAATCACAAATACACTGTGATTCCACTTATATGAGGGACCTAGAGAAGTCAAAATCATAGAAACAGAAAGTAGAATGATGGTTACCAGTGTCTAGGGAGAGGAGGAAATGGGGAAATCATTGTTTAACGGATACTGAGTTTCAGTTTTGCAAGATGAAAAAGTTCTGGGGATGGGAGGTGGTGATGATCATACAACAATGTACATGTACTTAATGTCACTAAACTGTACATTTTTAAATGGTTACCATAAATTTTGTGTTATGTATATTTTATCACAATTTTGAAAAAAAAGAAAGAAATGGAACTGAAGACTAACCCCACCAATACAACACCAAGAATGAACCCTAATGTAAACTGTGGACTCTGGGTGATAATGATGTGTTATAATGTAGGTTCATCCATTGTAACAGATGTACCACTCTGTTAGAGAATGTTAACAATAGGGGAGCTATACATACGTAAGGACAGGGAACATCTGAAAAATCTCTGTACCCTCTGCTTAATTTTGCTGTGAATCTAAAAGTAAAGTGTATAAAAACAAAAAATTAAACCCCCTAAAGGATGGGATTTAGAAAAGGAGAGTAACTTGCTCCTTAGAAAGCAGCCACATCCCCTTTTTGGCCACCACTGGCTTAAGACTTACATGGTGCAACAGTGAATTCCGCTTTGTTGACAATGACACCGTTCACAGTACTCAGTCTTCCACTCTGAGTCCATCGGGCGTATGACTCCTTTGTGATCCCTGCATTCTAAAACAATGTATACAGCATCATCAGTGCAAATCATGCAGTGGGAAAAAGATCTATCAGAACACTGAGTCCAGTCCCTGCTATTTGCACCCCTCCCAAAGAAGGAGAATCTCATCAATTTTAAAGGTATCCAAGAATGGTGCTTCTTCCCCTTGGCTAAATTCCAGTACTATTCAGTTCATGCCACTGATAATGTCTTCCTACAGTAAGCTTAGATCCTTCTAGATTTTATTGCAGAACAGAGTTTTTTTTTAAAAGATTCTCCTTTTAAATCAAGTGAGCATGGGGGCACTTGGGGCTAAATTTTTTCCTGCTGGATTATCTCTGGATAAACACCTCACTTTTACACTTCTCACTTTTACACTTCTTTTGCTTTACATCAGTGGTTTTCAACTCTGGATGCACTTGTGGAAATGTAAATCTTAAATCTTGGAAATTTAAATATCTATGTCTGGGTACCACTCCAGAACAATGAAATCAGAATCTCTAAGTGTGGGCCCAGCCCAAAATATTTTTAGAAAGCGCCAAGCATGGTGACTCATGCCTATAATCCCAGCAGTTTGGGAGGCTGAGGTGAGAGGATTACATAAGCCTGCGGGTTCGAGACCAGCCTGGGCAACTGGGCAAGACCTCATCTCTACAATAAATCAAAAAATTAGCCTGGCATGGTGGTGCTACTTGGAAGGCTGAGGTGGAATGATAGCCTGAGCCCAGCAGGTTGAGGCTGTGGTGGCCAGGAGCATGCCACTGCCTTCCAACCTGGGTGACAGAGTGAGGCTCCAACACACAAAAAAAATTTTTTTTTAGAAAGCACTCCAAGTTACAGTATTCAAATGTTCTACCAAGAGTGAGAACCACTGCTTTAGCTTCTTGGTGGTCTGAGTATGCTTGAAGGGCCAGCAGCATCAGCAACACCCCTGCTTCCATATCTACTTAATTGGAACCTGCATTTTAACTAGATTTCCATGGGAACTAGATTCTCATGGGATTGGCTTGCCTATTTAAGTTTGTAAAGTACTTCTTTGGATAGGTAATGTTTCTCAACCCTATTTGTGTGAGAGTCAATCAAGGAGCCTGTAAATATGCAGCTGTGACCCCAGAGATTCTAATTTATGACCTCAGGTGGGGCCTGAGCATTGGTTAAGTTTCAAATGCTCTCTAGACATTCTTACTTCATTTCTATATGTGCCCTAACTCTCCTTCTCATATAAAATTAAAGACTTTCATCTGCCAACTGGTCCACCTACCAGGCTGCACTAACATAAAAGACATTGAAAAAACAGCACTTACTTGTGGTCAAATTATCTAGATCTAGCTCAATGGGTATGAAATAGCAGGATGCGTTGCACAAAGTCATGAAGGTGGTGAAGATCACAAGGCTGCTCAGGAGAGCGTTCTGTAATGTAAAGAAGGGTTGGGAGAGAATGAGTGAATCCAGAGGATAATCCTGGACTGAGTGCTGTGCACCAGGAGCCCTTTTGGGCTCTGGCACGAGGTTATAAGTGTGGAGCTTCTACCCTCAGGTATTCTGGCAAAGGAATAAGACTTGAACAAGTCACTAACATAAACTATAGAAAAAGCCAAGCAGAAACCAACTAACACAGAGCAATTATGATAGGGTGTTGCTTCATTAGAGGGGAAATTTAGGAAACCCTTGCAGATAAAGTGAGTTGTGACTTCTTTGCAAAATATGTAAGATCTAAAGGAAAAAAATGAGGAAGAGAGTTTTACAATAAATACAATAAAACAATGACAAACATACAAAATGGAAGCAAAAATTATACAGTTTGAGTTTTGTTGAAGTTAACTAGGTGAGTTGGTGATATGACCAGAAACATAAATTAGGGCCAGATTGTAAACACAGGCTGTGAGATTAAGAATTTTATTTTCCAGATAATGAAGACATCCTAATGGCTGTATGAACAAACCGATTAATCTAGACTGAAATTGGTAGTACAAGGAAAAGTATGCTCTTGTCATCCTGTCATATAGATGAGCTAAATAAACAAACAAATCTAAATGTGGTCATTTCCAGGAACAGTTGACAAAGAAGAAGGAGTTAAATAAAATTTATAGAATGCCATTGGTTTGAACTGAGCTCCTGCGCTAAGCCTGACAGACCAAACCAAAATTCAGTCACTCATTGTAATGTGGTAACCCAAAATCTGAGAGGGCTTGCATGTAATGTTTACCTATTCCAAAGAAGTCACCTCAAGGTCTAGCAGGGAAAGACATTGGTAGAAGACAATGATGGTGATAGGTAGGTGAAGAACCTGCACCCTGGGGCAGGATAGCAAGCGGTTTTATAATTAAGCCAAGTTAATTAGTCAAACTCCTATCTGGTATTTACAAGTACATTGATTGCGAGTGACTACTGCCTTGTTTTCAGTTTTGCTTAGTCACCTACATCCCATAACACATTACCAGCCTTGGCCAAAGGCCACTTTCTGAGGAGTGAGGACACAGTCTATGACCAGACAGTGTGCTGAAGTTCCTTGTTGCTAAGCTAAATTGTTTACCTGACCTTCTAAGAAATTAGGGGATAAAGAGAGATAGTAGCCAAATCCTCAGAGAAGCAAGGCACAGTGGCTCATGCTTGTAATCCCAGAATTTAGGGAGGCTGAGGTGAGATGATTGCCTGAGTCCAGGGGTTCAAGACCAGCCTGGACAACTTGGTGAGACCTCGTCTTTACAATAAATCAAAAAATTAACTGGGTGTGGAGGCACGCGCCTGTGGTTCCAGCAACATAGAAAACTGAGGCAGAAGGATCACCTGAGCCCAGCAGGTCGAGGATGTGGTAGCTGTGAGCATGCCACTGCACTCCAGCCTAGGCAACAGAGTAAGATTCCTATGAGAAAAAAAATCCTCAGACAAGTCAGTTTTAGCCAGTATGATAAGAAAGTCCCCTCTGCTTTAACCTTTATAAGGAAAGTCACTTTGAAAAGGCCAATTCGCTTTTTGTTCTCTGCTTCTGCTTTCTTCAGCCCTTTTCTGACCCTAAAGCAAAACTCCTCTGCTCAGCTCATCAGAACACTTCATCTATTTTATAGAATGAAGTGTTGCCCAATTCTAGAATCACAAATACCTGCCAATTAATAACTTCAAATTTGTTGCAATTTTGTCTTTTTTTTTTTTTTTTGAGTCAGAGTCTCACTCTGTTGCCCAGTCTGGAGAGCAGTGGCGTGAACCTTCTGCCTCAGCCTTCCAAGTAGTCATGTGCTATAATACCCAGCTAATTTTTTGATTTATAGTAGAGACAAGATCTTGTCATGTTGCTCAGGGTGGTCTCGAACTCCTGAGTTCAGGCAATCCTCTTGCCTCTGCCTCCCAAAGTGCTGGGATTACAGGAGTAAGCCACCATGCCTGGGTGTAATTTTGTCTTTTGACAAAGGGTGTGAGGGTATGTATACTGTAAGATGCCTAAAATTAATGTTAAGATAATTAATATTAATTATTAAAATTAATTACTTAAAGTAGCATGTTACTGATTTAAGATTAGAAAAAAAAATATATAGATCAAAATAGAAAACCCAGAAAGCATTTATAAATATATGTAAAAGTTTATTATAAAATAAACATGAGTGCAAGCATGGTGGCTCACACCTATAATCCCAATATTTTGGGAGGCCAACATGGAAAGATTGCTTGAAGTCAGGACTTCAAGACTAGCCTGGGTAACCTAGCAAGGTCCTGTACAACCAAAAAAAAAAGAAATTAGCTGGGAGTGGTGGCATGTACCTATAGTTCCAGCTTTTTGGGAAGCTTAGGCAGGAGGATTGCTTGAGCCCAGGAGTTTGCAGGTGCAGTCAGCTATGATTTCACCACTGCACTCCAGTCTGGGTGACAGAGTGAGTCCCTGTCTCAAAAAAAGTTAATTAATTAATTGAAATAAAAATTTAGCCAGGCATGGTGACTCATGCTTGTTATTCCAGCACTTTGGAAGGCCAAGGCAAGAGAATTGCCTGAGCCCAGGAGATTGAGACCAACCTGGGCAACACAGGGAGATCTTGTCTCTACAAATATCAAAACATTAGTCAGGTGTGGTGGCAGGCGCCTGTAGTCACAGCAACTCAAAAGGCTAAGGTGGGAGGATTGTCTGAACCCAAGTGAGCCAGGTGAGCTGTGATTGTGCCACTGCTCTCCAGCTTGGGTGACAGACTCCAACTCAAAAAATAATAATAAAAAATAAAAATAAATTAAAATTTAAAAATCCAAAATAAAACAAACATGATCTTGGAGATCCGTAAAGAGTGATTATTCAATAAATAGTATTAGGACAAGTGGTGGGCTGTTTGGGGAGAAAACAAAGTTAATTTCCTACTTTAGTCACCACAGTGAAATCAATTCTCAAGGGATCCAGGGTTAAATGTTTACAATAAGATTACAAAATAATCATAGAAAATACAGGTAAATGCTTATCTTATTCCAAGCATGAAAGAAAAATAGATTTGAGTTTGTAAAAGTAGGCTGGGCATGGTGACTCAAGCCTGTAATCCCAGCACTTTGGGAAGTCAAGGCAAGAGGATTGCCTGAACCCACAGGTTGGAGACCAGACTGGGCAACATGGTGAGAGCTGTCTTTACAACAAATCAAAAAATTAGCCAGGCATGGTAGCATGTGCCTGTATTCCGGCTACTTGGAAGGCTGAGGCGGAAGGATTACCAGAGCTCATCAGGTTGACACTGGGGTGGCCATGAGCATGTCACTGCACTCTAGCCTGGGTGAGTCTCCAACTCAAAACTAAAAAAAGTATAAGAACATAAACGAAATGTAAAAGGTATCAAGTTTTTAAAAGAGTATTCTTTCAGTATTTTTTAAAATTCTGAACATTGAATTTATTTTACTTTCTTTTTTTTATGGAGGCAGAGTCTCATGTTGCCTAGGCTGGTCTCAAACTCCTGACCTCAAGTGATCTTCCTGCCTAGGCCTCCCAAAGTGTTGGGATTACAGGCATGAGCCACCCCATCCAGCCAAAGGTATCCCATTTGGAGAACTATATCATTATATGAAGAGTGGGAAAAGTAGGAAAATGACAAGGGAAATAAAGTGACACTTCACATACTCAGATACAAATAGAAGTGATGAATAAACATATGAAAAAGCTCAGCTTACTGAGTACAAAAGAAGTGTCGATATGTAGACAAAATAGAGCCATAATGGGATGACAAGAATACTTATTTAATTTATAATACCCAGAAGAAAATAGAGGAAAATAAATATATGAGAAGTGATATGCACAAGGATTATTTTACTTGAAACAATTGTTATGGACAGCAATTTGATTCTATATATCAATTTTTTTTTTTTTTTTTAAGTTGGAGTCTTACTCTGTCCACCAGAGTGGAGTGCAGTGAATTCTGAATTCAGATTCTCTGAATTCAGGTGATCCTTCTACCTCAGCCTTCCAAGTAGCTGGAACTACAGGTGCACACCACCACACCCATCTAATTCTTTTGATTTATTGTAGAGACAAGGTCTGGCCAAATTGCCCAGGCTGGTCTCAAATCCTTGGGCTCAGGCAATCCTCTTGCCTCTGCCTCCCAAAGTGCTAGGATTACAGGCGTGAGCCATGGTGCCTGGTTATATCAAAATTTTAAAAACTGATTGCACCATTTGACTTCACCTTTTCACCTCTAAGACTCGATCCTAAGGATGGTGCAGAGGCCAAGATAGATTTCCACACAAGGATGCTCACCACAGTGGAAAAATGGAATGAAATAAAATGTCCAAGAACAGAGCTGGTTGAGAACATGGTGACTCAGAAAAAATGCCTTGCCAGCCAGCAAGGTGGAAGAAGGTGAAATGGCAAGAGCAAATGGTCGCTATGTATCATTATATGAAATAAAGCAGGTTAGGTCGGGCTCGGTGGCTCAGCGTGTAATCCCAGCTCTTTGGGAGGCCAAGCAAGTGGATTGCCTGAGCCTGCAGGTTCAAGACCAGCCCGGGCAACTTGGCAAGACCTCAACTCTACAATAAATCAAAAATTAGCTGGACGTGGTAGCGCACACCTGTTGTTCTGGCTGCTTGGAAGGCTGAGGCAGAAGGATCGCCGGAGCCCAGCAGGTCGACTCTGGGGTGGCCGTGAGTGTGCCACAGCACTCCAGCCTGGGCGACAGAGTGAGACTCCAACTCAAAAAAAAAAAAAAAAAGAAATACAAAACAGTCAGCATGATTCCTATGGTGGGGGAGAGATACTCAGCAACATGCTGAAGGTTATATAATAAATTTTAACAGGACATTCTTGAATGGTGGAGTTATGACAACTTTTTTATTTTATTTTCTAATGTGTACAAGGAAATATATTAGTTTTATAACCAGGAAGAAATAAATGAATTCTTTAAAACAACAACAAAATACCTCAATACGTTTAGCTCACTTCAGGACATGGAGTTGCACTTTCTCTCTCTGTTTCATTCTTCTTTTGTGTGATCTTCAGCTCAAAATCATTGTGGAAAATTAAACTTCTTTCCCAAAAAACCAGACTCATTAACAGAATTTCTGCTTCCTTCATATAGGAAGTGGGTTCGTGGGGGAGTATGGTGATCACTGTAATCTTGAGGGTCTTGTTTCACTGAATCCCAAAATAGGGGAGTCAGCAAAGACAAGCCAGGACTGCAGACCAGGATAAGCAAAGCACGTGGAATCCCCAAATCTCCTGCCACTCTGGGGCAGAGGCATGAGACGGAACAACCAGGGGAACAGAGTCCAAACATGGTGACAGAGGAGAGCAAATTACTTATCCACATTGAATTAAGATTACCCACTTGACAATATCTCAGCCTGCTACAGACTCTCTCTCTCCCTTGTCTTCTTCTTCTTCCTCCTTCCCCTCCCCTCCTCCCCTTTCCCTTTCTCTCCCTCTCCTTCTTCCCTCCCTCTTCTCTCCTCCCCCTTCCCTCTCCCCTTCCCTCTGTCCCTCCTCCTCCCTGAAATTCAGTTTCCTTTCTTCTCTAAAAAGTGGGACTCTCCCACTTGGGTGGGCATTAACATTACCCAGAGAGCTAATAGGAAACATACAATCTCAGGCTTATTGAAGAAAGACAGGACCAGAGTCTCAATATCTTTACCTAATCTCCCAGGTGAGAACCACAGAAAAAAATGATTTAATCCAGTGCTACTTTCACATGCATATGAATTCCTGATAGATCTTGTTATAGAAAATGCAGATTCTGGTCAGGCGCATTGGCTCACACCTTATAATACCAGCTCTTTGGGGGGCCAAGGTGAGAGGATTGCCTGAGCCCATGAGTTCAAGACCAGACTGAGCAACTCGGTGAGATCTCTACAATAAATCAAAAAATTAGCCGGGCAAGGTAGCACGTGCCTGTAGTTCCAGCTACTTGGAAAGCTAAGGTAGAAGGATCACGTGAGCCTAGCGGGTTGAGGCTTCTGTGGCCATGAGCATGCTGCTGCACTCTAGCCTGAGCAACAGAGTGAGACTCTGACTCAAATATATATATATTTTGCAATATATATATTGCTAGAGCCAATAACAGAGAATGAACTGGGCTGCTCTCAGAGGTACACAGGAGAAGAGGAAGGTAGCAGGCAGCCAGCTCAGAGGAGCCAAGTGAGAAGTCAACTCAAAAAAAAAAAAAGAACGGAATGGAGGCCTACTTGGGATTTTATAGATTTGGAGGCAAAATTCTTTCTTTTTTTTTTTTTTTTGAGTTGGAGTCTCACTCGGTTGCCCAGACTGGAGTGCAGTGGCCGCTTCCGGCCACTGCAGCCTCGCTTGCTGGGCTCCAGCAATCCTTCTGCCTCAGCCTTCCGAGTAGCCGGAATTACAGGCATGTGCTACCACACCCGGCTGATTTTTTGATTTTTATTGTAGAGATGAGGTCTTGCTGCCCAGGCGGGTCTCAAACCCGCGGGTTCAGGCAATCCACTCACCTCAGCCTCCCAAAGGTACGGGATTACAGGCTGAGCCACCGAGCCCGGCGCAAAATTCTTTCTGAATACAACATGAGGTCGAGTGTGGTGGCTTGTCCCTGGAATTCCATCCCTTTGGGAGGCCAAGGCAGGTGGATTGCTTGCTCCCAGAGTTTAAGACCAGTCTAGGCAACATGGCAAGAACTCATCTCATTAAAAAAAAGTTAGTTGGATATTTGGTGTGCACCTGTAGTCCCAGCTACTTGGGAGGCAAAGGAGGAAGGATCAATGAACCCAAGAGGTTGAGGCTGTGGTGAGTCATGAGCATGCCACTGCACTCCAGTCTGGGTGACAGAAAAAACAAAAACAAAAAACAAAATGACACAACATTAAATAGTGAAAAAGGCCTAGGAAAATGGTTCCCAAACTTTGCTAAATATTAAAATTGCTAGGGCAGTTTTTAAAAGTCCTAATGCCCCATTCTCACTGCAGACCAATTAAATCGGTGTCAGGAGGGAAGCCAGTGTCAGTATTTTTCACAGATTCCCAGGTGATTCTACCTCTCACCCAAGTTTGGAAGCCTAGAAAAAGGGATACCTGGGTTCCTATCTCAGCTCCCCTAATAGGCTTGTGGTGAAACTCTCAGTGGCAGCTTCTCCTCCTCCCCAGTCTCAGTTTCCTCAAAATGATGCAGTAAACGTTGCTCTGAAATTATATTTAACTTCACAAATCACTCACATGGAGCCCAAGAATTACAGAAACACTGGAATTCCAGAAATACTGGAAAGAATAACAACTTAGATCTTAGAGAATAGAAATAATGCCAAACAGTTAGATTTCCCCAAGCTCTCAGACTTTCATGATATCCTACACATTGAATTACAAGTGAGACACAGAAGATTCATAACTAGGTCACATTTACATTAAATGCTACCCAATAGAAGCATACATCACAGCCTGTTAAAATAAGGTAAGCATATTTTTTTCCTTTTCTGGCCTTTATATATAAAACCAGTTTCCTACCATTTTGACAAGCAGGACTCCTTACAGGCAGGTACATCCAGAAAAAGTCACACCAAACTTTTATATTGAAGAGGGCAACCACACATTTGACATCATAAGAAAGATAACATGCCAAGAACACATTGAATGTTTACAGAGGGTTGACTGCCAACAGGAAATTATGGTTTCAGTTGATTTATGAGTTATTCATAAATCAGGTCTCCACCTCAATTATGTGTTTACCCTTGTCCCCACTCCTTGTCTGCATTTGCCCTTGACTTGAAAGAGCAGAGGATGAGAGAACACCTCTTTACTGAGCCTTTCCCCTATGCTGGGTGGATTGCTGGGCACATTTCATGTTCTTATTAGATTTCACCCACAAAGAAGCAGAGATTCAGGGAGGCCAGTCACAATGGGCAGGTGGTGAAGCTGGGTTTCCTGGAGGCATAAGAATAGCCCAATGGGTCAACCCAGCAAGCTTACTAGATCTGGAGCTATGGCCTAGATGGCACTGCCCTTAGAGTCCGGCATGAGAGAGCAAATCCCTAATGTCTACCTTTACTCTTCTTATAAGGACACTATCCCAGTTGGATTAGGGGCCACAGGAAAAAAATCCTGGCATCATTTATACTGTTATGGCTGCTCACCAAGTATTGGCAAGACGGTGGCCTCTATTCACCCCAGAGGATCCCAGCTTGTGAGGGGGGGGAGGTGTTGAGAGCAGGTGTAGGGGGCTGCCCACAGGGAATGGAAGGAGGAAAAAGAGCAGCACTATCCAAACTTGCCTGGTCTATTTTCAGTTTTAATCCTGACTCAACTGTCGTCCTTACAGATGGAACTGGCCTTAATTTTCCTTTTATTTAATCCTTGTTTAGTTGTTGTTGTTTAACAGGGTCCCAGAAGGTCTATAGGCACATGCCATCACACTTGGCTATTTTTTTTTTACCTTTTGGAATGACATGGGTCTTACTATGTTGCCCAGACTTGTCTTGAACTTGTGACTTCAAGTGATCCCAAAAGTATTGGGATTATAGGCATGAGACATGGCCCCCAGCCCCTAATTTATTTATCTTATTTTTTTATTTTTTCTTATTATAGATATGTGGGGTACAAGTCAGGATTAGCTACATAAGCAGGCTGCATGCAGGTGAAGTCTGGACCTCCAATTAGCCCTCACTTACCCTGGTTTAGGACTCTTTGTGATGCTACATATCTCCCACCCTCCCTTCCCTGGCAGTGTCCAATGACTGCCAATCCCTCCCTTGTGCTAATGTGATTAATGTTCAGATCCCACTTACGAGTGAGAATATTTGGTATTTCAGTTCTTTGTTTCTATGACAGATCACCAAATATGATAGTCTCCAACTCTATCCAATTTGCTGCAGATTCCATGATTTTGCTCTTCCTTATGGCTGCATAATATTCCATGAGGTATCTGTACCACATTTTTTTATTCAGTCCACTTTTGATGGGCAGTAGGGTTGGTTCCATATTTTCACCATTGTGAATAGAGCAGCTATAAAGATGCATGTGCAGGTATCTTTTTGATAGAATGATTTATGTTCCTCTGCGTATATTCCCAGGAAAGGAATTGATGGATCGCATGGAAGATCAAGTTATAGTTCTTTTAATAATCACCACACTGCTTTCCATAGAGGCTGACCTAGCCTGCACTCCCACCAACAGTGAAGTGTTTCCTTTTCTCTGCAGCCTCACCAGCACCTGTTGTTTTTTGATTTATGGATGAGGGCCAACCTTACTGGAGTTAGGTGGTATCTCTTTGTGACTTTGATTTGCATTTCTCTGATCATTAGTGAGGCTGAGCATTTTTTCATGTATCTCTTCACTGCTTATATGTCTCCTTTTTTATTATTTTTTTCTTTCCTTTTTTTTTTTTTTTTTTTGGTATGTCTTCTTTTGAAAAGTGTTTATTCAAGTCCTTTGCCCACTTTTTAATAGGATTTTTTCTCCCTTTCAACTCATTTCAGTTCTTTGTAGATTTTGGATGTTAAACCTTTGTTAGATACATAATTAGCTAATACTTTTTCCCATTCTATGAGTTGTCTCCCCACTCTCTTGATGGTTTCTTTTGCCAGGCAAGAGATTTTTAAAAGCCCCAACTTCCATCCCACCCAATCCAGATTTATGGTTTAAAAAAAAGTAGAACATGGAGAGAAGTAAAAGAAAAAAATACTGTGGTTGTAATGTCCAAAGAGAACTGCTGCTAGCATTTTAGAGAACTTCCCTCAAGAGTTCTCTTGGTATATGCTCATTTAGGAGAGGTAAGCATCACATGAACTTTGTCCAAAGATAGGATATTGTAATACTGTTATACAATCTACTTTTCTCATTTAGCATTGCCTGTGATCATCCTTGCATATTAATAAATATAGACATGGTTACTATTTAATGGCTATATTTTCTTCCATGGAATGGCCAAGTCCTTATTTGGTCAAGTCCCTCTCATTGAACCCTCTAGTTGTTTCTAACTTTTTGTCTAAATTAAGAGTACTGTTGCCAGGCACGATGGTTCACACCTGTAATCCCAGCACTTTGGGAGGCACGGCGAGAGGACTGTCGGAGTCCAGAGGTTCAAGAACAGTCTGGGCAACTTGGTGAGACCTTGTCTCTACAATAAATCAAAAAATAAGCTGGGTGTCAAGGCCATCTGTGTCTATTCAAAATGTCCTTAAAAATATACACATCTGTGAACTTAAGGCAGCTTCTGGGAGTAAAAATCTTTGTTTCTGCTTCTTGACATGTAATACTGTTGCTGTGTCTTGCTCCCTTTCCCACGCTGGTGATATATAATCTCTCCCCACATCTATTGGGTTATAAAAAGCTTTATACCAACCAGCTGCCATTGGTTCCTTCCCGTAAGTAATAATAAACTCATGTGTTCACCAATCTGTCCTCCAAGTAATTTATTCAAAATAGGTAAGCATTATGTAAGTGCCCTGTCTGGTTTAGGGCTGCTGTGGATACAGAAACATTTTGCCGATGTGGAAAAGGTGAAACAAAACCTAACCCAAATTATACCCCACACCTTTAAAATTAAATAAAAATTTTAAAAACAGCAGAAATAATAAAAGGCATCAAAATTGATAAGCTTGAAAACTGTTTTGAGCAGTGGAAAAAGTGTCTCACTAGGTGTATTGCATCAAATGGAGAGTATTTTCAAGGTGACTGAAGTTTAAGCACATAAGAACAAACACACAACTTTTTATAAATAAATTCCAGGGGTTTTTTTGTGTCCACTTCTTTATTGTTAATAGCTAGAAAAATTTTGAGACCTGTTTTTGAGGTTCATCACATTTGAAAACATTTAACTTATTTATTTATTTATTTATTTATTTATTTATTTATTTATTGAGTTGGAGTCTCACTGTGTTGCCCAGGCTGGAGTGCAGTGGCATGCTCACTGCCACTGCAGCCTCAGCCTGCTGAGTTCAGGCAATCCTTCCATTTCAGTATTCCAAGTAACTGGAACTACAGGCGTGCACCACCATGCCCGGTTAATTTTTTTTTAATTTATTGTAGAGAGGAGGTCTCACCAAGTTGTCCAAGATGGTCTCGAATCCCTGGGCTCAGGCAATCCTCTCGCCTATGCCTCCCAAAGTGCTGGAATTACAGACTTGAGCCACCAAGCCCAGTCCCATTTTGCTTTTAAATAAGTAATGCATGTGCATGTTAAAAACATTTTTTAAAGACTCTTTTCCACCTGTCTCCCTTATCTCAGTTCCTCTATTTCTTGAGCTCAGACTGATTACTGATTCCTTGAATGCCTATCTTTATAGTGATGGTTTTTGTATATACACGTATATGCATGTGCTTTTTGGAACACAATTCAAAGCATGTTACATGCTATTGTGCATGCTGGTTTTTTCTCTTAGTCCTCGATTCGGCTGCAGTCAGCCTCCTTCCTGGCCCTTGAACACTTCAGTCATACACACACTGTTTCCTCCACATGGACCCACTTTCCCCCAAGGATCTGCACAATTTGTTCCCTTGCTTCCTCCAAATCTTTACTCCAATGCCACTGTTGCATGAGGTCTTTCCTGGATGACCTATACACCTCACTGCATCGTCCCTCACACTCTCCTCCTCCCACCTTTCCTGCTGCATTTTTCCACAAGGATCGTTGCCTCATCCAAGACACAGCTCCCTTTTTACTTGTTCATTGTCTACCTCTGCCTGACTGGAATAGCAGCTCCTTTAGGTCTGTTTTGCTCATGGCTTTATTCCTAACTCAAAAAAGTGCCTGACCCTTAGTTGGGTCTCAACAAATACTCATTGAATGAATGAATGAGTGATCAGACAGTGCTTCACTCCATTTCTAATACCCAACATGTGCTCTATAAATAGGAGGGATAGCTGTGCCACTGCAGTATAAGATGAGAACAATGAAGATACCCACCAGAAGGCCTGCAGTGGGACTTTTTTTTTTTTTTTGAGTTGGAGTCTCACTCTGTATCCCAGGCTGTAGTGCAGTGGCACAATCTTGGCCACCGCAACTTCGACCCTGCTAGGCTCAGGTGATCCTTCCACCTCAGCCTTCTGAATAGCTGAACTACAGGCACACGTCACCACACCTGACTAATTTTTAAAATTTATTGTAGAGATAAGATCTCGCCAAGTAGCCCAGGCTGTTCTTGAACCCATAGGCTCAGGCAATCCTCTCACCTCAGCCTCCCAAAGTGCTGGGATTATAGGCATGAACCACCACACACGGCCTGCAGTGGGATTTAAATTAAACCACATATATTCACAGGGTTGTAGAAACTGTGAAGTGCTATGCAAATGGAAGGCAAGAGTTGTTATTACAAAGCTGTTTGTTAATAAACTTTTTATATACTGGATTTCTGTCCTTTCTATTCTTTTCCTTCCTTCCTTCCTTCGTTCCTTCCTTCCCTCCTTCTTTCCTTCCTTCCTTCCTTCCTTCCTTCCTTCCTTCCTTCCTTCCTTCCTTCCTTCCTTCCTTCCTTCCCTTCCTTCTTTGAAATGATGAAGCCTCACTCTTTCTTCCAGTTTGGAGT